TATGTGCCACACGTCACGTCACTTTCCCTTTTTTATTGAAATATCCTGGTTCCTTCAATGATGCAACTTGGTTGTTGTTCCCTCTTCTAGCAGTATTGTTGTAAATGTTTCATGGCATGTATAATGCATGAGTTCAGAGTTAGGTTTGTAAATATTCAGAGATTCTCTTGTAGATTTGATGCAATAAAGAGATGAGTTTTTTTTTCTTTAATAGAAAATTTGAATCCCAATCTAATCCTTTTATTCACACACAGCCTAACTGTCAACCAAATATTCTCGCAAAGCACATCAGCTCTGAACTTTGTTGTCAAGCGCATCATCATGGCAACAATGAATAATTAAGAGGTTTCCTCCAGTCAGGCGTTATCCTGGGTAACCTGAGCCGAGCCCTAACTGGGTTATTTACTGAGACTGGAGAGAGTTTCTGGAGTGTTATTAAGTGACTGTGTATATGTGGAATCTGTGCATGTTCTGAATGTATCTGCTGTTGACACTTTGAAAGCAGACATTTATAAATAAATCGCTGTTGTGTATTCACTTATGACTCACATGGCACATGTGAAACAGGACAAATCATACTCATGATACTGTCAAAACACTATAAATAGTGAATGAGAGTGTCAGCATTGAGTTTTTACCTTTTTAACTTTATTTCTGCAAGGATGTATTAAATTGACCAAAGGTGACAGTAAAAACATTTAATAATGTTACAACGGATTTATATTTCAAATATATATTTTTAAAGAATCCTGAAAATATGTATCACAGTTTTCACAGTTTCCACAAAAATATTAAGCAGCACAACTGTTTTCAACATTGATAATAAATGTTTCTTGAGCAGCAAGTCAGCATATCAGAATGATTTCTGAAGGATCATGTGACACTGAAGACTGGAGTAATGATGCTGAAAATTCAGCTTTGCCATCACAGGAATAAATTACATTTGAAAAAATATTAAATTAGAAAAGAGGTATTTTGAATTGTAATAATATTTCAAAATTTTAGTGTTTTTACTGTGTTTCTGTTAAGAGACTTAAGAGAATAACATAAGAGACTTCTTTCTAAATCATGGGGGGTAAAAAAAAAAAACCGTACAGACCCCAAACTTTTAAATGGCAAAGTGATAATAAATGTTTCTTGAGCAGCAAGTCAGCATATCAGAATGATTTCTGAAGGATCATGTGACACTGAAGACTGGAGTAATGATGCTGAAAATTCAGCTTTGCCATCACAGGAATAAATTACAATTACTAGAAAAGAGGTATTTTGAATTGTAATAATATTTCAAAATTTTAGTGTTTTTACTGTGTTTCTGTTAAGAGACTTAAGAGAATAACATAAGAGACTTCTTTCTAAATCATGGGGGGTAAAAAAAAAAAACCGTACGTTAATCTTACTAAGGCTAGCAAGCCATGCTGCTCAGGAGAGCTGTCAATCAATAAATTGAAAAAAAAGAAACTTACGTTACTTATTTGAAAAAGTAACTCAGATATTCTCTTGTAAATTAAAAATGCGTTACTTTACTAGTTACTTGAAAAAAGTAATCTGATTACGTAACTTGCATTACTTGTAATATATTACCCCCAACACTGATCATAATTACTATGTCCAAATTGTAATATGTATTCCAAAGGTACCCGGACAGTTTACTATTTCTGGTAGAAATTCGAAGTGCAGATCCGTGCACACTCGACGGCTAATACTGCCCACAACCCACTGCATTGATCAAGAATTTGATTAAAACTACAAACGCATAAAAAGTGTTTAAAAAAAACTACAAACATGGCAGATATGCAAGACTGATGGACAGGTAGAGAAAGGGGTTTGAGTGATAAAAAAAAATCTATATCTAACCTGATGAAAAAATATTTATTTACTGTTCTCCGCATTATATTTCATCTGCAACAACATTGTGAACTTTTATATAGAGATACATTTGGTCATTAACTTTTAAATGCATCATTATGCAAACACATGAGAAGCATTCTCGGCATGATAGACCCGTGACTGGCAGATCAACTTGCCTCTTCATTTCTCTCCAATACTGTAGGAAATCCAATTATACGAAATGTGGATGATGTTAACTGTGACAAGATGATTGACAGGGCAGTTTAAACAGTGACAGAATGCACGTAACTAAGCAAAAGAGCATCTGTTAAAGACGTAATTACAGTATGACGAAGTATGTCCCAAAGCTTGCCTGCTCTCTCCCACCTTCAATACCACAACTGAAGTGCCCTTGAGCAAGGCACCGAACCCCCAACTGCTCCGCAGCAAAAAAATGGCTGCCCACTGCTCCGGGTGTGTGTGCACTTTGGATGGGATAAATGCAGAGCACTAATTTCGAGTATGGCTCACCATACTTGGCCACATGTCACGTCACTGAAATAGATTTTTCCCCATTTTGCTCTAAATGTAAACAACTTTACTGGCGTTCTGATGGCTTACTTCGTAAGCAGTTAATAGTTACTTAGTCAGTTAATAGTTTAATGCTGACACCAGATTTCTTTCTTTTTTCCCCTCAACGGTTTTAAAAATTTGCTAATAAATTAGCCAAATTTTTGAGTTATCAATGTTTTGTTGTACATGTAAACTTAAATGATGATCATTTTGATGAAGCTTTCAGAATCTCTCATAACGGTCACACAGTCTTTATTGGCAAAGTATTCTGGGATTGATTGTGTAGGAGACTCACCTGACAGGAAGGCAAACTGTTTCCTGAGGTCTAGGCTGATGTCTGCGGCACACAGAGGACTGCTCTCCTGCTGCATAATCTCATCTGTGTGAGAAACAAAGAGATTTAGTTAGTAAAAATTTCCCCAAAAAACAAGGGAAAACTGGTTGTTTCCCATGTTGATGTTTATGGTTATACCACACAATTTCATAGACATAGGATGACATATACAGGAATGTCACTTCACGTTCTTTATCTGTTTCTAGGTTAAGATGGCATGATCTTGTTTAGAGTCTGAGAAGAGCAGCTGGATGAATGGATGTAGGTAAGATTGGATGGAAGAGCAGCTGAACCCATGGAAAGACAGAACAGCAGATGGAAGAATGGATGGCTGGATGAAGAAGAGAAGGTGAAAACAGAGAAAAGAGAAAGAGAGAATATTTTCTCTATGCATCAGGAGATGATGGATTATTATAAGCAGCTTTTGAGAGTCTTCAGCTGCTGCAGTGTGTGTGTGTGTGTGAGTCACTGCTGTGGTGCGGCACATTTCTCTCAGGCTCAAACTGTATGACTTCAAGAGTGTAGATATGTTCTCATGGTGCAGGTCAGAATCTGAGCACATGTTGGTCTGAATAAAGGTGAAATCAGCCCACTCTGAAAAGATGAACCCAAAAAAAAACAAGACAACATGATCCACCCTGACAAACCACTGGTGCAGTGCCTATCAGCAAAGATAAAGTCACTGGACAACAGTCGGAAACACACCCACACAGACTTTTATCCGTCTTTCCTGCTGTCACTGAGCTGCTTTGGAGCAAGGTTAAGGAATCTGATTTAGCTCTTGAACTCAGCATTTAAGTATGTAAGTAGGTCACAGATAAACATTCAATACACAGCACTGTGAGTGGGCTTACTGATTTCATCATTAATTCTCTTTCCATTAGTTTTGCTGCAGAGGCCCCATAGAAACTCACTGGACTGTTGGTTTGTACTGTACAAATGTTAGAAAGTGCACTCAAGACAAATACTGATAAAATCCCAGTGTCTAGGCACCAACAGCAGACCACATCCATTTGTGCAAAAGACCATCTGGGTTCGTCAATATACATGGTAAGACAGCTTTTGCTGTTGCCATGCCTTCCATTCAAAACAAAACAAACCAAAATAAACCAAAAGAACCAAAAACAAAAACAAATTAAACAAGTATAACCAAACTAAACAAATTAATAAAACAACAAATGAAAAACAAAAACAAAACAAAAGAAACAAGCACCAAACAAAATCAAGCAAAACAAATGAACAAAACAAAACAAATGAAACAAACAAAAACAAATCAGACAAAACAAGAAACAAAAAAATAAAAACAAAACCAAGCAAAGCAAAGCAAACAGAACAGAAAAAAAACAAAAGCAAAACGAAACAAAAACCAATATATTTTGAACTTGAAAAAAAATGTACATGTATCATGTTATCACAAGTCAAAACAAAATAAAAATAAAACAAAATGTATTTAAAAATGATAAATATTATAATTAAAAATAAGCAAATAAGTATTTAAAGCATTTATTTTCACACAAAAAAAATTTCAATATACGTTCCTACAATTCATCTTAAATCTAATATTCCAATTCCAAATAAGTTAACAGACAAATTTTTTTATTTAATTCCTAAATCCCATTTTTACTCACATTTGGCACTTGCCATGTGTTAATTTTAATGTGTTAATGTGATATTATATTGCTTGCAAGAAACAGCACATCTGACAAAGCAACATCTCAATTGAATCTTCTTACACAGGAAATGCTCTTGTTTGAAAGCTGTGGAGTACAGTTGAGAAGCCTTCAGGAGAAGATAAGGCCTGAAGGATGGTGACGTAAGACACATTACAGAAAAACACTCTGGCTACTCACCCTGTTATTAAGTTTCTGTAAAGTTCAATGACATTGTGCATGCTCTTTAAATGAAGGTTCAGCATTCCTCAAAGTCTTCATTTGTTGGACCATATAAGTATAGTCCCATGAACTTCAAAGTTCAGCCCCCAAAATGTCAATAACATGCTCTACTCAAACTGAACTAGACATCAAAACACTCCTCTTTCTTTCCCACTGCTCCACTCCTGACGTCACTGATCACAGACAAGCACCTGTTTTCACCATTCCCAACACCTCGCCACAGCCATGATGAGCAAAAGACAGATGCTTGCAGATAAAGCAAGAGCTATCTACCCTGATAACACAGACAGGGAGCTGGTAAAAGTCTGGCTTGTTGCAATGATCACAAACCACTTTCAGATTAAGATTATTGTAGGATTTCTGGTCTCAGTGACTCTCAATAAGAGTGTCACGTGACTTCAGACACAGCTGCCACAGCCCAGGTTAAAACTGAGCTTGTGAGGTTAAGAGAAGATTCTGGCACTGAAAGACTGGCACGGTTAAGCAGAATGAAGTCACGACCAACAAAGATGACAATGTTTTGCTTTTCTTTTACCCAGATGAAATTCGATACAAGCCTTAGGAGACATTCAGGTAAAAGACATTCATAGTCCTTAAGTTCATCTCAAATATTCATAATTTGTTGCTTCTGGCTATAAGGGTTCATTCTACAGGTTCCTCAACATCACAAAGATAACATTTGATGGGAGTGAAATTATAAAAATAGACTGACTCAAGAAAAAAAAACAGGTCAAGGGATTCTTCTGTGTTTTCCAAATTGGATTGTATTCCAAACGCTATTATGCATTTAAGCAATTAGGTATGAGAGCCTGTTACATTGTGACTGTAGTCACGGCTACAGGGGACATGCCATAGACACAGAGCAATGCCAGAAAACCCTTCATCTGTGAAAATGTTCACAATAAAGAACAAACTCAAATGGCTTACAGATTTGTTTTTACAGTTTTAAAACAGCAAGCAAGCGGCAAATACACACACACACACACACATATATATATATATATATATATATATATATAATTAATGTTAAAAAATTTGGGGTCAGTAAGATTTTACATTGTTACAAAGATTTATTATTTCAAATAAATGCTGTACTTTTGAACATTCCATTCATCTAAGAATCCTGTAAAGTATAACAGTGTCCACAAAAAATATTAAGCAGCACAACCGTTTTCACCAGTGATAATTCGAAGAAGTTCTTGTGCACCAAAACAGCGTATTAGAATGATATCTGAAGGTTCATGTGACACTGAAGCCTGGAGTAATGTAGAAAATTCAGCTTTGCCATCACAGGAATAAATTACATTTTAACAATGTTTTAAAATAGAAATGTTAAAATATATTAAAATGTAAATATGTTATTTTTATTGCAATCACAACATTGCTGTTTTTCCTTTTTTTTAATAAACTGAGCCTTTCAAAGAAATAACTTTTTTTTTAAAAACATTTTACAAATCCTAGATTCCAAAATTTTGAATGGTAATGCAGCAGGAATTTTACAGACTTCCTTATACTGACCAATCAGAACACAGGGCAGAATTATACATTTTACAAGTATAAGACTTACAAGTATCAAGTCTTTTGACAATTACAGATTTTAAAGAACAAATATTAAACATTTGGGTCAAATGTTCTTATACACAAGTCAAAACAGCCTATACGACAAAAACAACTAAATAAAGAAGTGATTTTTAGATTTTATCTTCTATCCAATCACCGAACGTGGTCTCTCATTTACATTTATCCCATCACTCCTATTAAACAATACCAGGCCGTCGAGATCGAGTTCAGTCTTGTCACTGTTGCCTCAGCTGGGCTCATGAGAAAGAGGCTTGAGCAGCGTCCAACGTTTCATTCACCATCTCATCACTTGGTGTTTAATCAACAAAGCTACGGCACAGAGCCTTTACTCAATACAAAACATCCTCTCACACATCCGCAAAACCAAAGCAGCAATAACAGGGCTATAGAAACGGCCAAGGGCCCTACACGGACGCCAACCGCACATTGACAAAACTATTCAGCATTGTGGTGCTGGTATTTAGGAGAACCGGGGGAAGGGCAGACTCTCTCATTTTAATGGCATTCAACGAATAGACGAGTATTCTTTACAAGGCCTTACATTTTTAATGCCACTCAGATGGGCTGAGCTGTGATCGCTACCTCAGTGTGATTGAAGATCTGGGTTTGGACTGTAGCCTAAAAGATCCCAGTATTAAAAGGTTCATCTTCATCTCAGGAAACTGCTAGCTGTCCTTTGTTCAATTATTTAGTTAGTTCACAAACGTATAACAACAGATTGCCTTGTTATAATGACATATAATCTATATTATGACTATAATGGGGCAAAAGTGTATTTATACCGGAATCACAATTGCAGAAATGATTTATGAACCCAAATTTAGCTTTTTGACAATTTGCCAAAAAAAATAAATAAAATCTACGCCCAACTAGTGAAAAACAAGACTTGTAAGGTTTGTAACTATTGTCAGAAAATAAATGTAAGAAAATATGATGTTACATTTAATAGTGAAAATGGTGTAAATTTAAAAAGTAATATTTTAATTTACTTTTTTACTTTAATTTACTTAACATGCTGATTATGTAACATGTTACATGCAACACTGGTCTTATCTCATTATCATCCTAATGCTCGAATATTGGCGTTTATGATAAGCAGGATCCAAATTCTTCGCTATTACGTAAGATTCAGCTATTAAAAAAAATTGCAATTGTGAGCCTCAAGATCTCACCTCTTTTGGAACTCCGTTTCCTGGTGCAGGAGAACAAGGACAACATGTTTTCCGTGTCTCTGCGTTTGTGTCCACTCTCTGCATTATTTACAGGAGAGTGTTGGATACAGTGGCTTAAAAATCTACGTATTACACTAAGAGCTCAGATGGAAAAACAAGACACATACCAATACACAGACACACACACACACTCAATGTTAACATGCAAGGAAAACATCCTCCTTGTTCTTCATGTCTGTGCAAGCAGCCCAAGTTAAACACACTTTTTTGTTAAAGACCTCTTTGGCTGTGTCATGTCCGAGCCTGTCTAAACTACAAAGAACCAGTCCAGGTTAAAACACACAGGAGTGCAATACAGAAACCATAACTGCTATATAAGACAGTGAAGGCCAGGCAATAA